TTAGCTTCATATTAGTCACGAGGCGGGAATAAGTAGCTATCTGAGCCTAATGTGATACATGATATACAACTAGAATACATGTATGATACACACATGTGCCCGAAGAACCGAATCGAAGGCATCATTCACACTTACACTAGAGACGGCTAATTAATTAGACATTGGAAAGATAGAAATCGTCATTCCGAATATCCGGGACAATGGAGCATGTGAGTAACGGCGGGCTGTGCACAACGCGTGGACGCGAACGGATAAGTAGGAAGGGAGCGCAGGCTGCGTAATACTAACTACGCAACGCTGGTGGGCGATGATCTACACTACCCTCATCGAGAAAAGACACACGAACGAAACAGAGCGTGCGCGGTCCAAGGGACACACATGTGAAAAAATGAAAGTATCGGAGAGGTTCGGAAGAACAAGCGTTGAAGTGCCCTATCTTATTGCTTACGTTGTTCACGTTCTCGCCTAATAAGGAAAGGTAAGGAAGCGGAGGAGGTTTCTACTGTCTGCCCTCCGTCGCTGACCGGCTCGGCTGGTAAAGACATACAAAATGAGCTTACTCGTTAAATTTTTTCTCTTTTACGGAGATCGCCGAAGGCACTCAAAATTTTTCTATAACAGATATTCGTTTAGTTCCTTCGAGGCACGGGCGTGGGGGGCGCATCAAACGTGATGAAGGGAGTACCGTCACATTGCATGCTATCACACTAGGTAACATTGTAGAGTATTTGAGCCAATTTAGTGTGATTTATATTCAGGTAAATATTTTGGTTCCCATGTATTATAACCAAATCCCACGCGTACAGACAAAGTATTACCAAACTGACTACAATGCCTATAACCCCCATGGAAATGAAGAAGAGACCAACAAATCGCCAGAAACCCCCATATCCTGTCCAGACGCCGTGTATATGCCAAGGACCTGATACTATGTAGAAACAGTGATAATGATGATGACGATGGGGATATATGGGTAAACCTGAGTGACCATGATGCAAAAAAGGAAAAGCCACCACCGATATAATGAAGAGCCCCCAACTCCGTACCATGCAATATAACCCCTTCCCCCGTCCCTCCCCGACCGAAATTAGGAAATATGCAAGGAATGAGAAGAGTAGATAGTGGATAGATGATATATGTAAAACCACTACTGGGTAGCCGGCAAGACGAACCGGACCTTCTTCTTCCTGGGCTTTGCAGCCGGTATGTCTATAGGTTGAGTCTTGTTGTTGTCGTGGTTATCGAGGTCCTCGACGCTGAGCCCCATCTCGCTCATCGTCTCCTTCTCCGGCTCTTCGTCGATGGACCAGACGTCCGGGCTGGGTTCGCGCCAGGAGTGCCGCCGCTGCAGCGTCCGCCCGAGTGCCCTTACACGGCGAGACGGCGGAGGGGGGGCGAAGCGCTTGGCCAGACGGCCCCTGGGGGATCCTACGTGGAATGAGGATGGTGAGGATGGCGAGAGCAGAGCATCCGTAGTGCGGTGGTTGGGAGAGCTGTGACGCGGCGGGTGATCGAAGTAGTCGTCGAGGCTAAAGGGGAGCGACTTCTGAGGAGTGAACCGTATGTAGTCCTCGTCATCGTCCTCATCGCTGTATTCAATATCGTCGTCGTCGTCCAGGATGGCGCAGTCTCTTTCTTTCTCGCTCCTGGGCTTGTACCGTCTGAGGCCGTCGAGCGTGGACGGGCTCACGCTGCGGACGATCTGACGGGGGCTGTTGGAGTCCTCGATGCCTGCATCGAAGTCGAACTCAAACTCCAGCTCCTCGTCTTTAGGCGTGGCGGGCGTCAAGAAGTATTTGAGAGGATTCTCGGGCCTTGAGGTGTGGTCGATGTCTTCATCGTCTGTAGAGAGCCCGTCCTTGTCTTCATCCAACGCCGGTGGGATGCGGCTGGGACTGGAAGGCCACAGCCCGTTAGGCGGCCATGACTGCCTGTGCACTGCGTGGAGTGCGTCTGATGGTAAGAGAGGCATGTTTGATTGTGTTATAGTGAAATGTGGTAGAGCCAGGGTCCTTGATCACGAAAGCCAGGTTTCCAAGTCTTCATTTCAACCAAGCTCGGTTGATATTAATATCGCAATAGCCAGGAGAGATAGGTCATGCTCCCTACGGGTATTATAGAGATCTTTAGAAAGTATCCTGGGTCCAGACTAGCTCTTCAAGAAGAAGTATACTTAGTGAGCGTGTAGGTGACAAGAGGGGAAGAAACCGGCAGCCTCGAGCCAAAAGTGTGAAAATCAAAACGACACAAAACAGGAAAAGACGGCGGTGAGGCCAGATATATATACATTGTCACAGGCAGAAGGCATATGTGCTTTGAGTGTGAGTAAGAGTGTATGTGTAAGAGGAAGTGGCTGGTGCTCGGTTAGTCAGTCACCTGTTGATCCAAGACGCTGCCTTGTGGGTTTCAGCAGCAGGTAGCAGTAAGTCGTAAGTAGTAGGTATAGTATACGTACCATGGTCGGTAAAGATGGGCGATGTGTGGTGGTCATCCCGGTCTCTCAGCTGTCAAGACGGGGAGGTATCTTCAACAAGAACCCCACACCCAGAAAGAAAGTGCTTGAGAAAGAAAGGAGGGCGCCGGTCTATCACCTAACCTATTCCCTTATTGCCGTGAATGAATCAAATCACAGGGCGCAGGGCCGCGGAAGACTCACTCACACTCCCACTCTCCCACTTATACCTGCTCACTTACATCTCCGACTAGTGTGCACTAGGAGACTTTAGGAGACTTTAGGAGGGGAGCTGGAGGGGAGAAGAGTAGGACCAGGAGGCAGAGATATTCCCAAAAGGGAGCGACGCATATGAAAGATGGTGTGCGGGCCGGCCGCAGAAACCGCAAAAACTAGGCGAGGAGGCGAGGATACGAGTGCACCGCGAGCTATTGCTTCGTAAGAAGTAAGACAATCCGACTATCTCTCTCTGTCGTCCCCTCTGTTCTCCTCTCTGCTCTCGTCTCGTCTCGTCTCCTCTTGTCTCCTCCCCTCCCCCCCACTCTTCTTCTTCCGATCACTTTTGTCTGTCTCTTGTCGTGAAGCTTGGGTCTTGTCTTATCCTCTTGTCTTATCCTGTCTTGTCAGATAGGGCATCTGACACGGTTTACACACCCTCTTCGGCGGCCCATGTCCCCCTCATGTCCCCTCATGTCCCCCATGTACCCAGGCATGCCCCACGCATCGGCGGCCGGGTGTGCGCCTGTATGCGACGCTGATGAGGCTCGTGAGCTCCGGTATCATTCGTTGCGGTGTTAGTGAGTCGATCGTAAATGCATGGCCAGGGATCGGGAGTACTGCATCGCTGCAGCGCGCCCGCGTTTGTACCTTGCATGAGTTGGGTGCTCCGGCCACTTTGGCTTCAACTTCTTGTGCTGCGCGTTGCCGTGGCGTGATGTAGAAATGATGCAGGCATGCACATACCATACCGTACCTCATACCATACGGATAGGTAACTTGTTGAATCTCCAATCAAGGGGCGCATAAGGCCCGGCTGCTGCGGCTATGGTGGACGAGGAATGGTAGAGAGAGACAGACATGGTAGGTGCAGTACTTACTTCCTTGCTATAGGTAGGGCATCGCTGGTTGGAAGCCTGCTATTAGTGCATATGCTGTATGTTTTCTATAGCGTGTCCTGTCAACTATAGTACCTACCTGGAGCAACTAATTAACGCAGGTTACTCAGGCCTATTAGTTGAGATGTAAGTAAGTACATAGGTAAGTGAACGCGCAAGGATGCTTTGTAAGACAACCGACGAACTATACTATCTGACTACTATCAACAAATAAACTACTATTACTATGGAGACTTGTGATGGAGACGGAAAAAGGCAGAATGACCACCAAGATGGATATGCAAAACAGGGAATTCGACAAAGCTTATGGCGCTAAAAACAATCGACAACCATCAGCGAAATGGGCATTTTCAAATTAGTGCGCTGGTTTCGAGGAAATGCCATACCTACACACCAGACCTCTTACTACCTCGTATACTTACTGCCTACACACACACGCGCGCGCGCGCATGGATAGTATTGTAGGTGCTTCTGAGCTTCTGGTGCGAAGAGTTACTGCGCGTCGATATGCTCCCCTCACTCGCCTAACCTAGCAAATACTCGTGTACATCCATACCAAATACCACCTACCGTTATCGACCACACCATAATCTTGCCACCTTCGGTGTGACTGGAGACAACCAACGCTGCATAATGTAGGTAGGAAGATCGAGGCAGGTAGGTAGGTAGATAGGAGGGAATATTCTTGTTTGCCTTGGAGACACACTTGCCAGAGTGCTTCGGCATGCGTCAGATGACAGATTCTTATCAACCGCCCACAGCCCCGGTTGCAACCCAAGATAGGTTTGTGGGTGGGAATTTGAACGGTTGACGGTTAAGAGTCATCACAGTTACGGCCCAAATTCCCCCTCCCCCCTTGACCGGAAGGACTCGGAAAAGCTTGATTGGATTCTCACCTCCTGTGGACTTGGTATTCCCTCATATTAGTCATTCTTCATATCAACCTGTAATTTTCCGAGTTGCCCATGGGCGCGCAGATTTGCTTTTTTTTCTTTCTGTGCAGAAAAGGTGAACTCTTTGGAGGGGTTGATACGACGTACGATATCGGCGTAGGTGAGCAAGAAGCTAAAGTTCCACCGTCGGCTCATTTGGGCGCACGCTTGAGCTGAGCTAACGCGTTCAAATTCGGGCCCTTGTTGCTTAGCGGCACTACAATAACCATTAGGCACCGCCAAAACCTCAAGTCTCTTCACCAAGGCAGACGCCAAATGCCATTTTAGCGACCGACGAGCCCACACCGAGGAAACTTGTAAGCTTCCTGCCTGGTAGGGCTTGTGGTTTAGTGGTATAATACTCCCTTAGCATCTGATCGTGTTCATCTTCTTTCTGAGAAAAACGGCTCACGAGAAACTTGGGAGTGGTCCGGGGTTCGATTCCCCGCGAGTCCAGCAGCGGTGGTTCCATCCCACCTATACCTTCATATTACAATTTTCTCCGAATTGGTGTAGTGGCTAACATTTGACGCTCTCATTCTTACAACCAAGAGGGGTTGCCGTCAAGCCCGGGGTTCGATTCCCCGATTCGGAGTAGAGCTTAGACTCATACATTTTGTGGAACTTTTTCGCCCTTTTGCCCATGTTGCATGTGGCCATCCTGGAGAACGCATGCGCGAGCAGGTCATGAGTGATAAGATAGATGGGGTTACCTTGTTTACCAGTGTTGTGTGTAAACCAAAAACTGCGTCGGGCCGTCCCTTTGGCACTGTATCTTGTATACCAAATGCATGTCTTCCTTGTAGATTGACTTTTGCTGAATATTATTCCTCTAAAGCGAGACTGTTTTTGTCGATCTCTCGTCACTAAGACTTCGGGTACACGTTGTTGTGCGTGCGCACTGCATCTACAGCAGGGAGGACGACTTGGTCAAGCGTTCTTAGAGATGTTTAGCTGCAACACACTAATCAGCTTCGCCAGTTTTAAGGTTTCTATCCGAGAGTCGAAGATCACCATCATCTGCAGATTTCCCACCTCGGCTCGACCCGTATCAGCTTGGGTTCTGGAGGTCGCTTGAGAGGTCAGACTACCGGGGGCAAGTAACCCAACCCTGGGCGATCGCCCTCTGCGATGGAGAAGACTCTCGGCAGTAAAAATAGTATGTACGCACTACCGGTATGTATGCATGTGCCTCTAAGTACTGTCTCGGCTTGATAGGCGGACATAATGGCAGAACCCCGATGGACAGCTGTCACGTGAAGCCTACAACCACGTGAGGCTGGAGAAGGGTAGCCATGCCCAATCAGCATCCGATCCAATCGAATTAAGTGCCTGTCAAGTCTAAGCCTAAAGGTTAAGCTCTCTCGCGTCGCGGCGTTTGCGGCTGTCATGGATGTACGATCGTCGATCTCTCTTGGATCAAGTGCCCAGGGGGCGGTCATGCCAAAAATGTTATTTTCCGGACGATATGTTTTAAGCCAAACTCCTGACCTGAATCTTGACCCTTCTCACCACGCGAGTGGAGTTGTTTCATGGCGACTTGTTTTGCGTGATCGAGTTGAGTTTTACTTCTATGACGTCGAGAGCCCAGGTTCGAACAGAGTTTGGGACCTGCGACAACGGCCCCTGCCGCGGTCGTTACACCAACCTGCACTCTGCACATGGCCCACGCGGTTGGGACGTGGTCCTGACTTGGTCCTGACCTGGGCATCTGAAACTAGTAATTAATATAACCAGCTCGTCAGCCGCTCCTTAACGTCGTAACGTCGCCTTGAGCAAGCTGCCAAGAGATACAAGCTGTTGGTCCAGTGCCCGTAAACTCCGGACTAAGAGCGGTGTTAAGGCATGTGTATCGAGAAGATTGCTGGAAATCGGATCCTGGCCTTGGCCGTATGATAGTAACAACATCACCCCCCCTTGGTTTCACTTGTCGCCGCAAGGAGACGACCAGTACTGCCATCCAGCTAATGACCAAGACTTCTATGATAGGTTAGTATTCGGTGCCGAGTGTAACTGGTCTCTATGAACTTCGGGTTTTGAGTCCCTACTCGTACGTACCTGGAAGCCAAATATGCCCCCTCGAAGTCAAGGCGACACTGATACCTCCAACCTCTACCATTGGTTACTCTGGTCATCTGACGTGTTCTTACCCTGAGGCCAGATATGAGGAGTCAACGGCAGAGCGCTATCTCGATATCGCTAGAGACGAGAAAGGGTAATCCTATCGCGACTTTCCCGCAGATTTTCTTAGAGAAGACCAAAAGTAACGTCGGTTCTTGGCATCACCTCCTCATTCCCGGGTAAGCCCCCTATCACGCGTGGGATATCCCTAGATCTTGTAACAGTATCTTTACTGTGTTGAGGCCATGGCTTTGCGTTCTTCGACCTGTTCACAATGTCATTATACTGTAGCTCTGCTGGAGAGAAGATAAAAAATGAACTTACGCTAATGTCTATCTTACAGACTACTAGTATGTTTGAATTCAACTGCTCATGCTTTGGTACACACTCTCTCTTGTCAACTTGACCCGTCGTTGTTGCATGGAGACCTCTCATTCAGGAAAGGAGCTCATTGGAGATGTGATGTCGATTCGCCTATAATGCTTCTCATTCGCCCAGTAGTGGACCACGACGCATTATCGAATAATAACGTTATGTAAGGACAGCTCGAGCCACCTAGTCTTTACAGCCGCCTTTGGTAGTGAGAGATGCACGCAAACAAGGCACCATCGAACTAGACAGAAAGTCTTTTAGTTATCGACTCATTCCAACACGAAGATAAGAGCAGCACGAGCACGAGCAGATGCCGGCCGGTCGTGAACGCTGCCCGGTCCCGTAGTGCGCCCTGGGTTCAAGGATGAACGTGGGAAGCCGGTAATATCCGGCACCTGTCCTGCCCTTTCACGTCTCCATTCACGCGCTAGTGAAACGATTTCTCTGAGGTATGTTCGAATGACACGGCGACGGCCGTCTGTCACGACTTACCGTAGCGGACAGCTTGATTTGCGTGCCAAATGAGGCCCGGGGACCCGTTCTCTTCCGAGCGAAGAAGGAGCCACCACGTCACCCCCGATACTGCCGCAATCCCAGGGATGGGGATATGGACCCTAACCAAAAAGGCGCTTAGCACGAGATCGTGGCATAGCTCATAGGCAGTGGTATCCTAGTGTAGAGGTTGGGACGCAATATGATGATGGTGCTGCTGCTGATGATGCTACAAGGTTGTCCCTTACACTCCTATTGAAAGAGCGGTGAAGCTCGCTGTCCCTATCCTTCGCCGATAATGCCAGAGGACCCCACAACGAGGTTGGTTGTCTTCATGATTTACCTGTTGCTTTCTATCAGTCTCGTGACCGTGAGGTATGCCTCTAGCCTCAGCTTAAATAATCAATGGCTTCATTGGCGTTCACTTGCCTGAGGACAAATGACGTACGACTCTACGGGCAACTATATGTGACCTATCATGGCTCATTTATCGCGTTACCGCAGGTGGGGCGTGTTGACGATGTGTTCTGGAGTTTAGAACCGATGAGGTTAAGATTGTTTGCTGTACGATAGTTTTGCCATCCCTGGATCAGGCGTTTTCGCAGCGTTGACAGACTTCCCTTTACCATACCTTACGATTGGAGGAATGCTTTGTTGTCTGGACTGAGCAGCGATCTGTCCAAATGGAGTGGTCCTAATTATGAGAATAAGTATCTAGAGAAGCAATGTGTATAAACAATCTATCTGCTTCCGTGTCAAACTCGTATCAGCTAGTCTACGAATATAAGTCAACGGACACATATCGATGATTTAGTAGGTGCACTCTTCATCTTCGACTTGCATATGAACCGTAACGAGCGATGGCAGGTACGGCTCATTCCACTTACCTAGGTACGCAAGACTTATGCTTCGTACCTGTCGATACTAGCAGACGAAGAAGGAATCGTCACTGCCTGCTGCTTGTATGCTTGCGTAACTCGTTTTACCATCGATGTAAGTGGCTGTTTCCTTTCAACACCTAGCCTGCAATCAATGTAGGATTGCATGCATACGGTCGAGGCAGCCACACACACGCTCTCTTAACAGGCAGAGCGAACCAATCGACTTGCATGAACTAGGTCAATTGTGAAATCCGCCGCCTACCAATTTGGGGGTTTCTTTGGATGGGGGCTCTTGAGGAGGAGGACCATAATAACATCAAGTTCTGCAGTAGCTTGGCCGTAAACTGTACGCAGCATGTGGATCGGAACCGCCGCATCCTCTTTAAATCGTATTGTGATTCTATACAATACACGTGTGTCCTAGTGATGATGGGAGTAGGATTCGAAATAAGGAGAATACGGACTGTATCGTGGGGCGTACCGCATCGTCACCATCTAGAACGCACTCCGTAGCGTTGTCCTAACATCATCATCTAAAGGACGCCCTTTGATTCCCTAAAACGGCACCGGAACCCAAGCTACGTGTGCCATTCGCCTGTCGTCGGTATAGTCCCGCTTATCCGGGAGTTGCGTCTACACCGTCCAGAATAATCACCACGGGGGCTGGGTGTGCCTTTACGTATGGTTGAACAAGTTGCTGTTCACTGAGAGGCAAGGGTGCGCAGACCGCTCTGCCACGTCCTCGCCATTTACGGGCGGTACAACTGCAGACAGCAGCGAGCTGCTACTGTCTTCTGTACAGCAACTCGCCCGGGAAAGAAATGCTGCTGCTTGCTGCTGCTACTGCAAAGGAGATGCCGCGTGACCCCATTCGCGAAAGCGCACAATGACTCCGTCCGTCGAGGGAGCTTGTCATAGGCGGGCATTGTTTCGTCGTCCCCGGGTGAGAGCGTGGACGGGCGGTGGGCTAACTAATGCAGGCTCCCTATTACTTCAGTGCCTGAGTGCTGGTTGTATGGGACTGTATGTAGGTATTAGCCCCCGAAATGGGGCAGCACGGTGGGACTGAAGCTTTAGGTAACAAAGACCCTCTCTTGCCGTGCCCAAGCCCCCCAAGCCCCAAGCCTCAAGCCTCTAGAACGACGGCAGCAGTAGGAGGAGGAGGTTAGGAAGCTCTTAGTAAGGACGGGAATGGTTATGCTGGCTTTCCGTCCGTCTTTTGTCTGCAACTAAAAGCGTCTGGTTGCGATCTGCCTAGATCCTACGAGCAATCGAACAAATAGCATAGTACCTACTGGGTATGCCACTGCTGCTGACATGACGCTGCTGTAATATGCGTTGTCGAAAGCTGCCGCATAGTCCATCCACCCCTTTCCCACTCCTCGCGCTGATTGATCCCTTGCCTGGTTGACTGTTCCCTTTTGGAAGACAACACCCTACATAGTATGCAGTCGTAGTACAGGTTTCAATTGCAGAGCCACAAGAGGAATTGCAAACCACACAACAACAAAAGGGTTTCTTTTTGATAAACCCTTCTTTTTGTGTGTGCCTTTTTCCAATGCAGGTATTCTAGTGGTGGCATTATAGAATATAACCAGCCACAGGTCTCGCTTATTCAGAGCTTGAAAAGACTGTACCTTTTCGGCAAGTATTGATACCCAAGGCCCAACTTGGGCACGAAACCCGCCACAGACGGATTCCGCAGCTTGTATTCTGTATGTTCTGTCGA